AATTTTGTGCATTTGGTGAGTGTATGTGACGATAAAGTCCTGACGAGGTTTTCTTAGGGCTTGAAATCCTATTGAGAACTTCTCCTTGAGTCTCCACACAATAGCCCTCAGCCGCTGTCCATAAGACGATGGTTTTGAGACCATAAATGCTAGACATCACAGAAAAATAAGAAATTGCTGGAATTTCTAAAAAGGGTGGGTCCCAATTCTAGTTTTCTAGGATAGTCAATAGAAACCTCTAGAGCTAGATCCTAAGATCCTAAGTAAAGGAGTAATGACCTCAAAAATGAGGTCAACAGCTATGTCATTGGATTAAGTAATGCCCTTCCTGCTTCTATGAATTTGACGAATATAGTCTTCAAACTTTACCTGAATCGCTTCATCGTTGTATTTATTGTTGATATTCTGATTTTTCCTGAGGATGTATAATCCTTCTCAAACGAAACCTAATTTTCAAGCAATAATTGTCGAGTTATATGAATATTATCTCAAGGACTACATTTCCAACATAAATTGTTTTTCTTCGAGATTTAAATTGTAAAATTTTTCGCCTTTCTCTTGATCTCTTTTTCATGGATGACTAAATTATATGTTTTTCAAATAAATCTCACAGTCTTCGTTGCTTCTTTATTTAAATTTCTCTATTCATCAATTTATCCTTACAAAATTGCGACAATGACTACATTTTGACTACGCAAATTATACTCGGGCAATGCCACTTCTACGCCATGTGATAACGTAAAGGAAGTTTGCCCAGTGACCAACAATAAAGTCGCCTTAAAGCCCAAAGAACTAATGGCAAAACTTCAATCCTCTTGCCTTTAGTAACTAAATCTTTTTTAACTGAAGATTTAGAGTTTACTTATTTTGACACCTTTTTTTGTCTGTTTTTGGATGATGGACTCAAGAAAATTTGAGTTGAATTCTCTGAACTCAAGCAAATTTTAGTTGAATTTTCTGATTTTGACAAAAACCTTTAGACTTCTTAAATGAGAATTGTGGTAGACTATCAGTAATAATCAACATGAGAAGCACATAGTGACTAATTATTTACGTGCAGATAAAGTTGCACACAGCCTCCACAATAATTTCAGCTGATGCTATTGCCACAATCCACTTTTTGAAGTAGCCAATTATGACCATATGAACTTTCTTTAGCCTTTTGAAGGGGGGAAATCGCTCCTCAAACGCCAAATAGAAAAGGATTAGAAAAGGTCGTTATTTGTGAAATGATAGGTGTTGCCTTGGAACCAATTTTTTTTGCTAGAGATATTAGTTTCAGAAAATCTTCTGACACATTTTCTAAAATTAGTCAAAAATATCAGTCTTAAAATAATTTTTACAAAAATTCTTCCTCTTAAATTACTAATGCAGTCTCGTAAATAAATGTCCTTGAGAATTTCAGGAATTTCATTTCCTTGCATACATCCGAGAAATCGCTGACTTCCTAAATAACTTGTCTTCAATGAGCAAATAATGCACAATTTCAGCTTTAAATCTCCTGAAATCAGTCAAAATAGCCACGATGGCTCTTGATTTAGTATTCAATAAATCTACCCAACTTGGCATGATTTGACTGTCAGCATCCATAATATCAGCTTCTTCAATACTCAAACGAGATAATTCTGACTTGACCTACCGCCTAGATTTCCAAATTTAAAAAGTAGGTAGGCAAGCTAGTTTTGATCCAGGAATCTGTTCAATTCAAAAGTATTCCTATTTTTCTAATTTCAATAATAGCATTAAGGAGACATCCTTACAAATTTTCTTTTCCTGCTTTATATTGTCCATTTACTCGATTGACAATCAGCTATGAATCTGAATAAGAAAGTAAATGCTTCGCCGTAACTCCAACAACAAATCATCACCCCATGATTAACACTTCATACCTCCCTTGCGGTGATTTGAGAGTATATTTTCACTATGTGAGTTAGCATATTTCCAACAAGAAACTTCAATACAATTCTAATTCCAATACATTGACTGCTTAAAACCCTATCAAAATATAAAGTTCATAAGCTGCCTACTAAAGTTGTTTCTACATTTGCTCCATCAAGAGTAAAACCCGCGAAGATGTTGGCCAATGATTGTGCATTGATACCAATTCTCAACTTATAAAAGATTATAAATTCACTTTAACTCAACGTGAAACTTGGTTTTTTTTATTTAAATGGTAACCATTCAAACAATAAAATGGATTACTGGCTAAAATTTCAACTTTCCAAAATAAAATTAGTATTTTAAAACTGATGAAAGCTTCATTGACATCATTGTAATATCCCTTTTCCTGGTATCTAAACACCTAATTTTGTCTATATCACTATCATCATTATCCTTCTCCTAACTATTTGGCATTGGCATTTTTAATTCTCGCTCATTCATATTGAGTGCTATATAAAATGCCTAAAACTATTTTTCACATATCCTTGATATTGACACCTATCTAGGATTTCTAAAAGGTGTTTAAGGATCGGCTCTAGCAATGAGAGGGTGCAGAATAGCAAGATAAGAGAATATGCAAAGCTGACAGAGATTGGAAGGGATTAAAGAAGAAACGGCTATCTAGGCTAAAACAAGGAGAACAAATGATGACACCTAAGACGTGCAGAAGCTAAGGGTGAAAGTATAATATGTTCTTCGTCTTTGACAAGTTAAAAAGTATCTTTGTGACCATTATAAAGTGTACCCCAATCATACTATCAAGGTCGGCCTAATACAATGTGACATGCATCCATAGGCAAGATCTCACGCCATGCATAATCATGTAGCTTCTATCTGATGAAAAATTGTACTGGAAATCTCTTGTAACACCAATCTCATTCACCTTCTTCAATCAAGTCAAAAAATATAGTTGGGAATGCTTCTAGATAATGATTCAATCCATCCACCATTTGTGGGGACATCACATTCTCACGACAATCTTCTTTTATGATGTTACTGCATACATTCCCCTTTACAATACAACGGGTATGAAATATATTATATCTAAGTCAATATTGATCTCTCTTGGGTTTGGTCTGAAGAATTCATCAAACCACAAGCATTTCACCATCATCTGTGAGTAGTTGGCACTTCTCTTCATTCTCCTCCTCTCCTGAGTCTCTACAATTTGCTTCTTCTACCCTACTCAGTAAAAAAAAGGACTCTCATGTTTGGGCAATTGAATGCAATGTGCTCGTATCCATGACACTTGAAACACTTCCCAACTAAAATTTTTGGGAAGTGCTAGTCGACTTGGTCATTTTTTCCTCCTGCATTAGCTTCTCCTCATGATGGGCAAATGTGGGCGCTCTAGTTAATATGTTCATATTGCACGACACATGGTCAATCCCTATTTGAATAGTGGAGTGGATCTGATACTGTTGTGCAACTTATCCACCTTTGGAGCTAATGTTTTAAATCAACACTTTGTAAAGTCTAATAGGGTTGTAATTGTACCATATTTCTAATGGATAATCTCAATCCACCCATATATCTCTCCTCTAACTCCACAAATTTATATTTCAACAAAAGCTATTCAAATTAGCGGTGCACTCCTCTACTGATAGTTCCTATTGCAAATGATGAAATCTCAAAATAATATTTATCTATAGTGCGTTGAAAAGTGCTTGTTTTACATCTCCTTCATCTTAGGCTAAGTCGAGATACCGCCTTTTTCCTAATGCTAGTGCAGACGCTTCAATTTTTCCTACCGCAAGGAAACACAATTCTTTAACTTAATCGCAGATAGCTTCACCTTCTTGTAGTGAAACATCCTCATAGTCAAAGACCCGTTCCAAAGTTTGGAGCTACAAAATGAATTTATTCATATTCATATGACTGCCAAAATTCAATAAATCAATATTCACTCCTAAGACACCATCTCTCCTCATAAACTCAATAGCAAATTGACGCAGTATCAGCACTTCGGTGCTTTAGACTTTTTGGAGAAAAGAATTTTTATTAACTTCTCTATCTGAGTTATTAATGTGAGTCACTTACATGTGTTGTCTCCTTTAAAAATCAATGAGCCTCCACTGTAATTGGAGGATTTTATGATGCATATCCATTATAAACCTCATAACACCTTTTTGAGGGCATCTCCTCAATGAAATGATGACTTTCCCCTCACTTTGGGGGTTTCGGTTGGGGTAAGATTGTTGATCTAAGGTTGGTCTACAGTATATGTTTAGGTGGTGAGTGTAGGAACATTTTTTTTGTGGAGATAAAAAGACAAGAATTTGAAGGTTTAAGGTTAGGTTACGAATTGAAATTAAGCTTTGACTCTAATATCAAACAACACCATTCTAGGAGTCATAAAAGGTGTTCACGAATCAGATCTAACATGGAAAGGTTGTGGAATAGTAAGAGGAAGAGAATATGTGAAGTCATGAGAGTTTGAGAAGGTATTTAAAAGGTTCATCGGGTATTTGGGCTAACAACAAATGAGAGAACAAATACTGAAGACACCGGCAAGGCAGAAGCCTAGGGAGAGCCATCACCTAGTCCTAAACAAGCTACAAAGATACCAATTTCAGGAGAGCACAGAATACAACACCCCATCAAGTAGAATATAAAAAAAGAAGCCTCCAATAACATAAAACAAGTAAAAGTACCCAAAATTAAGTCATAAGCAATATATTAATTTAGCAAGCATTAATGTCTCATTATAGATTAGAGGAAATTAATTTTCACGTTAATTTAAATACTTCAAAAATATATCAGTTAACAATGATTTGATTAATAAAAGCACTACATAATAGAATACCTTAATGCTTCATAAACTAATATGCTGAGAATTTTGTATCACAGCATCTTTCTCAGAAAATATGACATTAAGCATCAAAGAAAATATACATTAAATATATGAGTGGAACCTATAAGACAATGCTAAAACGGTAAGTTGTTTGCAGTAAAGAACAGTACATGGTAAGTCAACGTGTACAAACACAATTGACGCTTGAAATTAGTCAAAAAGTAACAGTAAAGAGTGAAAAGTTTAATAAAGAAACCGGATTTACCTGGTACAACTTGATCTCAGATTTGTTGAAGCCAGGAAGAAAAAGGGTAACAGACTTTTGTTTGTGATCAAATAATACTAATGAATGAAGAGAAATCGTATTACCAAGAAGTAGGTTGCTTGCATCTTTGCTAAAAGAGTTGAGGATTTCATCCCAATCTAAAGAGGAGTAAGAGGAAATAAATGGAAGCAGAGTAAAAGACAAAGGAGACATTCTCTCTACTGTTTCCTGGGTGGCAGAGGAAAACTTCAGGGCAAAGCCAAATGCACCATAAATATTAGTCCCAGCTTGTATTGCACAACCCCAATAGCGTAAAGCAGATATGACTGACAACGGTCTGCTTGGGTCCATCAGAAGGTAACATCTAAACCTTGAACAGTCACGAAAATATGCTGACGCTTCCTGCATTATTTATTCCTACTCAAACATGGATTCTAATACTTAACAAAAGAAGATTTATTCCTTAAAAAAAAAGGAATATAAACAAAAATAAAACCTCTAGAATTTGTTCAATCTCATTCCATATAGCAGTACTTGTTTTCCCTTCCACTGACCCTGGATTTATCGCAGCAGATTCATATACTAGCCTCAAGAAGGAGGGGGCAGTCAGTCTTCCAATGTCTGTCTTCTCGGCTATGTTCCGAACATATTTTAGATACCATCTGCAGCAACAAAATATCATCTTGAGCTAAGAAGGTTCCTTACATAGTTCCCATCAAACATAGGACCCCTACCTTACTCTTTCAGTTGCACCAACCAATCGCAATGTATCCTCAGAACTACTACCATCGTATATAACAATGTCAAACTCTTTCTTTGAGTAATCCCTCCCTCTTGAAAATAGATTTCCATATTTTTGAAGTGCTAAGAATGAAAAGATAGAATCCATCCCTGGAAGAACACCAAGTTCTTCTCCTACTACCTATTACATAGAAGAAGCTATTCATGTTTAAACTTAATTTGCTTGATAAGGCATGACGAAGAAAGAAACAAAGAAATTGAAATACGCCGAAGCCCAGTCAAGGCAGAATCATGAAAAACTTCAACTTATCTCCAATTTCTTCACCCTTAACCATCTTTGGAAACAAAACGTAAATGAGGAAGCTAGAAAAGTTATTGCGTGACAGTCATAAATCCACTGCTTGCATACCCACCCCTTCAAGAATTCCTTGAGTTAAATTCATACGAGCATCTACTTTCTTCATTCGATCAAGAGGTTCAAGAAGCATCTACACTTTTTAGAAGAAAAAATTCCTCATAATCAGCATCATGAACTATATCGTGCAAAATTTTAGTACGTTAACCATTTGAAAAAGATAGAAAATATCTTATTACCTTACTTGTTCGCAATTGAACAGCAAATAGATTCTCTGAAATCATGGTTGGAAAATCTCCAATTGTGCAACCCATCAGCTGCTCAACAGTAATAATATCTTGTGAATGTATTACCAAACAAGTTTGCAGTCCTTCCTTAGCATACAGCTTAAAATCCAAAAGAAAAATGCAACATATCACAATTAAAGCAGAAAAAATAAGATTAAATGCAACAGAAAAAACTTCAAATAAGAAATGTGAGCCAAACTCAAACAAAGTGCCTTGTAATAGAAAGTATATTCACCGTTGGCTGCCACTAAATATATTTTTAATTGATATAAAATGCCTGTTCCTATTTTCCTCTTCTAGATGGGTAGATAAAACCGCGAACATCATTAAAAAAGCCAACTGATTAGGTGAAAAGCTAACAACCGTCTTAGAAAGAGAAATGGATGTTAAGAGGTTTTATATTATGAGTCAAATAGTTCACTTGAATAAAAAAACAACATTTATTTTCTTTATTTTCTTTTCTTTTATTTTCTTTATTCTCTTTGGTGTGGATTTGATGCAATGAGCAACAATCTTGGAATTATATAAAAAGAAAAAAAAAAGTCCAGCATGCTGTTTTGAATAGACCAACTTGAATTTTATTGATAGAAAGGGAGGTCATATATATACCCAATTACAAGGACACTCACAAGAAAAATAATAAATCAGAACAAATAGAATTAGGAAAAGAAAAACTACACAGAGAAATAAGAAAGGAATAATGTAGGAATTAATACAAATCCCTGCATTTAATACAAATCTCTACATACGTCTAATACTCTCACTCAAGTTGAAAATAGATGTTTGTCATGTTCAACTTAAATTTGAAGTCATCAAACAGTTGTCAAGAAAGATTCTTAGTGAGGATATCCGCTAGCTGACCACTGGAGAGCACAAAAGAAATGCAAATTTCCCCGGACTCCAGATTTTCCTTAATGAAGTGTTTATCAATCTCCACATGTTTAGTAAAACATGTTGGACCGGGTTGTGAGCGATGTTAATCGCGGTCTTATTGTCACAGAACAATTGTAGTGGGACTGAGGTCGGCCTACATATGCGTAACAAGAAAGATTCACAGATCCCTAAGGACATGAATCGGACTTCAGCTTCAGCGCTGCTCTGAGCAACTATCGATTGCTTCTACTTTTCCACGTGATAAGATTTTCTCATACAAATGAGCAGTACCCGGAGGTAGATCGTCGGTCATGGACAGACCTGGCCCAATCTGCTTCTGTGTAAACAACAATAAAACGAGAGGTGTGACGCGAGAAAATCAAACCTGAGCCCGGCATGTCTCGTAAATAATGGAGAATGCGGTGGACAGCTTGGAGATGATGCTCATATGGATCATGCAGAATTGACTTACAATATTAACTGCGTCACATATGTTGGGGCGCGTGTAGGGCGAGGTAGATGAGTTTCTCCATCAGGCGTTGGTAGTGAGTCATGCTCACAAGAACATAAGGAACATCAGCTAAGTTTTCATTGATATTCATCGGGACAACCACCGATTTGCACAGCAGAAGACTGTTCTCTGTTAACATGTCAAGTACATATTTGCGCCAAGACAGACAAATCCCTCGAGATGACTAAGCAACTTCTATACCTAAGAAGTACCAGAGAGATCTCAAGTCCTTCATTTCAAATTTTGTAGCTAAAAAACCTTTCAAATTTTCTAATATTAGTAGATCATTATCTGTGAGCACGGTATCGTCGACATAGACGATAAGGATAGCAATTTGGCCATTGCATGAATGCTGAAGATAGTGTGATCTAGGGGTGTCAAAAATTGACCTAAAATGTTAATACGGCTCAAACTCGACAAGAAAAATTCGAGTTCGGGTTGAGTCGAATATTTTTTTAGTTGGGTTCGGGTCAAAGAATTCGACATGTTTATTATTCGAGATGGGTTCGGGTTAACTCAATTCGGGTCGGTTTATTTTTGGGTTGGACCCAAACCCGAACCGCCGACCCAAATTAGCATCCCTATATGTCAAAAATTGACCCGACATGCCAACACGACTCGAACTTGACTCAAAAAATTCGGGTTTGGGTTGACCCAAATATTTCTCGAGTCAGGTAATTCGACCCATTTATTATTTAGGACGGTCTCGGGTTGACCCGATTAGGGTTGGGTCATTTTCGGGTCGGACCGAACACGACCCTCCGACCCGAATTGACACCCCTAGTGTGATCAGATTGAGGTCGGGTAAAATCATGGTTCACTACCACCTTTGTGAATTTGTTAAACCGAGCCTGTGAGGAGTTTAAGCAAAATGAGAGGAAATTGGGATTTACGATTATGGAGGATTTAAAGATGTTATTTTTGATATTTTGCATAATTTGGGTTAAATTCTACTTAAATCCTACAGCCATAAAACCTCTTATTGTAATATAAGTGAGATTACCTGATTACATGGTAGTCATCTCATTCGAACGATATGAGGATCTAATTTTATTTATTTTTGTACTTTTTTATTTTCTACTACTTTATTATTTCTTATGGGCTAATTTAATGCTATTGATTGCAGTCAAAAAAAATGTGTTGAAAATTTGATTTTATGAAAATCAATTTGTTTGCTTGTTATCAATTTGTTCATATATTCTTGCAGAATTTCTTAGAAATTTAAAATCATTTCATTCTCAATTGGGCTTAAAGTCTACTGCCACCTATTTTCATTGAAACTAATTGAGTTGTTGAATTCTCAATTTTGTTTGGATGGAAACATATTACATGTCATGTTCATTGAATTAGGAAACTCTAATCTTGAGTACCCAAGCAATAGGATTAGAATAGTCCTTATGCATATGCATAATGCCTAGAAAAAAAAAAGGTAGTAAGAAGTTTATTTGAAACTCTGCAAGAACAATCAACTTTAAGGGCACTGCATGTCTACGATCATTCGTAAAGTACTTAAACACAATAATTTATCTTCAACCAAATTAAATAACCATTAAATATTATTATTTTAGTTAATTAATATTAATTTAAAATTCCAATTGATCTATCTTATTTAATTAATACCTATTAATATTATTGAATTTAAATTTATCAAAATTTATTTAAAATAAAATTATTAAATTATGAATTATAAACATAAAATACAAAATCCTTGTATTTCTTCCCCATATTTAGGTTAAGGTGCCAATGCAACCAATGGCAGGCGAACCAAAAATAAGTTTTTAATGAACATATGGATTTTAGTTAAATCAGCACAATTTTTGGATTTACAAAATTCGTGAATTAAAGCAAAACAAGATAAAAATGAGATTTACGATTATGGATGATTTAAAGATGTTTTGGGTTAAATTGTACTCAAATTCTGCTACCATAAAACCTCTCAGCGCAATATAAGGGAGATTACTTGATTACATGCTACTCATCTCATCTGAGCAATATGAGGTTTGATTTTTCTTTTCTTCTTTTTTTTGTATTTTTTTTCATTTTCTACTACTTTATTATTTATTATGAGCTAGTTTAATGCTATTGATTAAATTAAAAAAATGTGTTGAAAATTTGATTTTATGAAAATCAATTTGTTTGCTTGCTATCAATTTGTTCATAAATTCTTGTAGAAATTCTTAAAATTTTAAGATCATTTCATTATCAATTGGCTTAAACTCTATTATCACATGTTTTCATTGAAAGAAATTGAGTTGTTGAATTCTCAATTTTGTTCGCATGGAAACATATTACATGTCATGTTCACTGAATTAGGAAACCCTAATATTGAGTAGCCATGCAATAGGATTAGAATAATGCTAGTACATAAGACCTTTCATCATAATTAATGCATACTGTTTAAAAAAAAAAGGCAGCAATGCTAGTACATTTGAAATTGCATGTCTATCATCATTCATTAAATACTTGAGCACGATAATTTATACAACAACAAAGTCTTAATCCCACTACGTGGGGTCGGCTACATGAATCTTTTTTCTCCATTGCATCCTATTTAGTGTCATATTTTCATTTAGTTCTAATAATTTAAGATCATTTTTTATACAATAAGTCAAAGTCCTCCTAGATCTACCTCTGCCTTTCTTAACATAAGTCGAATCTAGAACATCTAATCTCTTAATCGGATCATCAGATAGTCGACGCTTAATGTGACCAAACCATCTAAGATGACTTTCTCTAAATTTGTTTGTCACAAGAGCTACACCAACCCTATCATTGATATAATCATTTCGCATTTTGTCTCTAGGTGTAAAGCCACTCATCCACCTAATCATTCTCATCTCTGTCGGTCGTTATTTTGAAAAGAGTGATGATTTTTGTAAATATGAAAATAGTTTTAATATAAATATGATTTTTGAAAGTAACATTTTAATTTAAAATAGATGAGACCAAAAAACGAGTCTCACATATCCAAACGAGTCTCACATATTGAATAATTTGGATAGCTGAGAGCGATACCACAAGTAATACACTATCCCGAAGTATAAGCATATCACTTAACAATAGGTTCAACCACCTAAACTAAGGAGTTTGTGACATATGTTCGATCTGCGAAATCTTTTATATGAGGCCGACAAAATTTCCCTATCTAATATGAGAATTAGATAGAGTTTATTTTACCCGGATTCGAAGTTCCCTATAGAGGCAAGCCCGTATAATTAATTACATCTTAAATGATCAGGATCACTTAAAAAACCCTCGATTAAGTTCAATGGTTCTGCCTTCAAGATTTCTAAGTTTAGGCTTCTAAGATTGGACACGGGAAAATTAAATGGGAATCGCTCAAATAGAAACAGTTATTTTAATAAATCCAAAGGAATGAAGAGTTGGGGATATCACAGATCCAGGGGAAATCCTGGTGACTTACCAACTATTCTATTGTTTGACTTTATGTCTTTGAATCGCTCAAATAGAAATAATTATTTTAAGACAATTATTTTAAGAAATCCAAAGAGAAATCCAAAGGAATGAAGAGTTGGGGATATCACAGATCCAGGAGAAATCCTGGTGACTTACCAACTATTATATCGTTTGGCTTTATGTTTTTGAAATAATGTTATTCAATGTTTAATCCTACAATTTATTTTAGAATTTAGGACTTACATTCGCACGATATTCGATCATGCAAATAGCCTAAAAAAATATGAGAATTTACACA